GGCTGTGGTGGCCGGGAGCATGCCACTGCACTCCAGTCTGGGTGACAGAATGAGACTTCAACTCAAAAAAAAAAATCTAAGTGCTTTTCAGACACAGTGAAGAGAATAAGAGATGCCAACATAAACACCACTCCCAATGAATAGCCAGAAACTAGTGTCCCTCTCAAACACCATCACGGACTATAAATCCAAGAGTAAATTTCAATGGTAATGACTGTACAGAACTCTCTCCAGTATCTGGGCTGAATACTGGAACATGTTATCTACATCTCACATTTTCCAGAAGTAGATCAAGTTGGCAGTCAAGGACATGACTCTAGAGTCCTACTAGTCAGGACGGAATCAAGGCGTGACCACAGAGCAGCTGATGGCTTTTGTAGAGCACTTAACTGGCTTCCTGGCCTCAGTTTCCTCATCTATAAAACAGGAATGACCCCAGCAACACCACCTTCATAGTTGTGAGAATTAAGCAACACATGGAGTGTTTGGTGTGGAGCCTGGTGCAGAAGTGCTGTTAGTAATGCTGGCTCAGATTATTAATGAGCAATTTTAATGTTACTGTAAATTGGCATCACTTAAGTGTTCCCAAAAATGAGGGTCTAATTATGAGACACACCTAAAAAAAGCAAAACTAGCAATTTCACAAGACCTTAAGAAGATGAAAAGAAAACGTGACCTGTGACTGAGCTGAAGTGAAGAGTCCTCCCGTTCACTCCCTCAATGCCACTAACCCAGGGACTAGGTACACAAAATCCTGCGTTCCTCTCCCAAAGATTAAAAGGACAGAAGGACAGAATCCCTCTCTTCCTCTCTCACTCACATTTTTTCATAATGGAAGAAAGATAAAACTACTGAACTTCCTCTGACAGTGTGTCTTCCAGTAAACATTTCTTACCTTTGTAAGTAAAAACTAGATCCTAGGATGTCAGGGTCCTCATTCAATAAAGCATTTCCGAAACACCCAGGATGTGCCAGACTTGTTGCTCTAGACACAGGGTGTAAAGGAATGCACAGGACATTCTCTCATGGAAATAAAAATCTAGTCCACAGATCACCACATGGGATATGTGCTATGAAGGACCTTGAAAGTCAAGGTCAGCCCCTCTATGCCTCTCCTTCTCTACCAATAAAGCCTCGGGCAAATGACAGGGTCTCAACTAAAGAGTTCCTGGTGAGAAGGACTCCAAGCAGCTCAACGAAAGCAACCCGGGTCAGTGTAAGCCAGTGTGCAAGCAGGATGGCTGACCCAGGAGACAGGGAACGCCACAGACAGAATTGTAAACACGAAGTTAACAGAAATCAGCAGGAAAGGTTCTCCACAGAATTCTGTCTCAGAGACACTCTCAGGACAAAAAAAACAAGTAATTAAATCTACTAACTAGAATATCATGGAGGAAAAAAAAGTCTTTAATAATTATAAACAGAATCTTAAAATATGAGCATAACTGGGAATAATTTAATAAATGTGAATTAGTCTCACTGATAACAATACAAAAATATGGTATCCTTTAAATTTATAAATATGACTGGGAACAATACTACATTTGTTAAGGTTCCCTTTTAAGAAAGTTAAACATCATTATCTGATACACTATTAGACAGCATTTACTCCAAGAATATGTAATATTGATACTTCTCCATTTTACAAAAGACATTATAGGAAGAGTTTGTGTTCATTTTAAATCACTGTGCAGCCAGGCATGGTGGCTCACGCCTGAAAGCTCAGCACTTTGAGAGGCTGAGGTAGGAGGGTTACTTGAGCCCAGGAGTTGGAGACCAGCCTGGGCAGCACAGCGAAACCTCATCTCTACAAACAAACAAACAAATGAATAAATACAACCTGAGCAATACAGCAAAACCCCATCTCCATAAGTAAATAAATACACAAATAACTAAGCAAGCCAGGCATGGTGGTACATGCTTATCATCCCAGCTATTCAGGAGGCTGAGGTGGGATTGCCTGAGCCCAGAAGGTCGAGGCTACGGTGAGCCATAATTGTGCCAGTGCACTCTAGCCTGGGTGGCAGAGTGAGACCTCAACTCAAAATTTAAAAAATCATTTTGCCTAAACCTCAGCCAAGAGCATCTGATAACACCCTGAGTAAAGACTAAGAACAGTCCGCTGGGGCAGTCAGGAGCGAGAGCGCACTGATCAGAAACGGGAAACCACATGTTCCCAACCTTCTTCCTTAGCAGAGTGAGAGAATCCTGAATTTTATCAACCAGGTCCTCGCTCTTCCCATCAAATTTCAGTCCAAGTTTCCACTGCTTGATCCAGCTGTACTTGCTTATGAGTTTTTCTGGTAACTAGAACATCAAGAAACAAAGAGATAAAGAGGTGTTAACATTCCAAGAAATCTATCACATCATTTAAGCCGTGAAACCACAAAGCCCACAAACCTACCTTTGTTTCCAGAGTTAATTCCTGCAAATCTGTCATGTGGGTTTAGGATGGAGGACCCAAATTGATAAGTCAGGAACTTAGAAAGGGCCCCTTGAGGAAGGCTGTAGAGTGAAATGGTGCTTTTGGTTGAGAAGCAAAGGCACAACCTGCCCTGTGGGACTCCTGCCACAGCCAGAACATCCCACAGCAACTGTACAGATGAGCTAAGGTCATGCGCACAGTGCATCCTCACACCAACTACCCTCAGGCTATGGAGCTCAGGAAGGCGCTTCAGACATGTGAGAAACCAGGGTAAAGTCAAACCTACTCCTGTCCCACTTCAAAAAATAAAAACTAATTTCTTATATTTAAAAAATCCAGCTGGGCACGGTAGTTCACGTGTGTAATCCCAGTGCTTTGAGAAGTCGAGGTGGGAGGTTCACTTGAGCCCAGGAGTTTGAGACCAGCTGAGGAAACACAATGAAACACTGTCTCTACAAAAAAATTAAAAAATTAGCCAGGCATGGTGGCACACACCTGTTGTCCCAGCCACTCAATAGGTGGAAGGATAGCCTGAGCCCAGGAGGTCGAGGCTGCAGAAGGCCATGATTGTGCTGCTACATTCCAGCCTGGGTCACAGAGTGAGACACCAACCCAAAATAAATAAGCAATAATATTTAAAAGTTTAAAATCCACTAAAAGAGGCAGAGAAATATCTTTTAAAAATAATATTAGCATATATACTGGAAATTTTAGCAGTCAAAGAACAATATTTAATTGCCTAATTCATGTAGTAAGATAAACACTACAACTGAGAATAAAAAGTAGGGGATAACCTAGCTCATGAAAGAAGTGACAGCAGCATTCCTACACTGCTGGTTTTCTTTTTTTCCTGGAGTATTTGTTATTTTGTTTTTCCCTAATTATCAATAGCATCTGCAGTTTGAAAGGCAAGCTAAGACACAACTTGATGGATGACAGCATGGGAAGTTAGACTCTTGCGACAGCCCTGGGTATGTCAGGAAAAAAACCATAATTAGGCTGGGATTAGGCATGTCACTTCACTGCTATAAAATTTAAAAAGGAAAAAAGTTCATCTCCAAGTCAAAAGACCAAGAAAGAATAAATTCTACAACATCCTTTGAGAAACCTGAACATGTTTAGCAGTTATAATACAGCTTTAAACAAAGTCATGTGTTCCGTTCTACTGGAATCTGAGACTCAGAAGACCTTTTCATGAATAATTTCGGTTGTATGTTCTCAATCTAGAGCAATCACATGAAACTAAGGTGGTTTCATCTCTACAAAATACAGAACGACAACGGGGATGTAAGTCACTCTTCACTGTTACTACAGTGATGGCAAACTACATGACTCACTAAAGGAGGGGAGGAGCTTTGTCCTCATCTTATTAGGATAACAAATGACCACCCACTCAGGAGCGGCACCCTCCCACTCCGTGCCCACACTGCCCTACATTTCGGCAACACGTGGGCAGTTCCGCTGCAAAGCCCTCGATTCAGTCTCTCCAATTTATCACCAGAACCTAATATGCCCTCAAGTGGCAAAAAGCTGAAATTACAACTGGGCTCCAAGAACTACAAATGAGCAGAAAACACTGGCTACACAGATGTGAGCTGGGAAACAAGGCAAAGAAAAGCCCATAAGACCAGCTAAGCATCATGAGACATTATACAGCTTTTTCAAAAGCAGGGACCATACTCAACTGAATTACTCTGGAGACCTCAAAGATCAAACTACACAGAAGGAAACAAAAAAAAGTTTCCTCATTCCTTTCACACATTGGTCAAACAATTCAGGGATATACACCAGATGTGGAAATTCTGGAGAAAGCCCCAAAAATGATGCATGGGGGGAAAAAAAACACTATTAGACAAGGATAATGGAGTTGAAATTATTCAGAAGACAAAAGTGAATATAAAGAAATGCTTTTAGGGGTCATAACATGAACACATGTAAAGAGCCACACTTTTCTACTAAGCACAGCAACCAGACTTCTATCAGAATAAGGAAGATTCATCAGTAGATCAGTGGAGAATGAAAATGTGATGTGATATATATATATATATATGTACTACTATTCAGTCATAAGAAAGAACTATTCGGTCATAAGAAAGAACAAATTGTCTTTTACAGCAACTTCGACAGAATTGAAGACCATTATCCTAGTGAAGTAACCAGAGCAATAAAAAACCAAATACCGCATGTCCTCCCTTGTAAGTGGGAGCTACACCAAGAGTCTGCAAAAGCACAGAGAATGGTACAAAGGACATTGGAGACTCAGAAGGGTGAGGGTGGGTGGTAGGGTGGGATGAAAAGTTACCTATCGAGTGCAATGTGCACTGATGAGATGACACTTAAAGCCCAGATTCTACACCACTATACAGAGCGGCCATGTAACCAAAAACCATTTGTACCCCTAAAGCTATTAAAATAAATTAAAAATTGTTAAAAAGGGATATTTAAGCAAGAAACATATTTAACAACAGTAACTGGAAATGTTTATAAACAAAATAGATAATTCACTTAGGTGTCATTTCGTTTTGATACCACAACAGAGACAGCAAATAACAAAAATGTGTCATCCCCAAACGAACTCACAAAAAGACCTTCGGTATATAGTCTATCCTACTCCAACCAAACACTGCCACAGACCCATCACCTTAGAGACATTCTAAAACTTAGCCAACTTGGAAACCAAAAGACTCCTGCTCTAAGGACACCCCCTCTCAGGGACTGAGCTGCTGTCCCATGATTATGAACAGTCAGATGAAGCCATCTCCATGGCTGAGGTCAGGGTCAGATGACCTCATTGAAGTCACACACAGAGAATGGGATCTGGACAGAAACAGAAGAAATGGAAGCCCAGGCAGAATGACAAGGGAGGAGGAGGTGGCTGAACTGTCAGAAGGAGGATAAGGACAAGGCCCAACCTCACAGGCAGAGTAACACAGCAAAGTCAGAGAAGCTCAGCACAGCAGAAAGGGAGCCTAGGCTCTTCCACTGAGCTCAAGTAACAGGAGGGTTACTCAGACTAGCATTCCTATTTCCCTTTAGTATCCAGAAACCAGTGATGTTCTAGGAGAACGGGAAGAAAGTGAAACATTACAGAGAACACTTCTCAGTCTGCAAATGGAAGCAGATATAGCTAGCTGAAGGTTCCAGTCTTGACTTTTTGCAGCCACACTGCAACACACAATTGTTCATTCAACAAAGCCCTTGTCAGAGTGGACCTTCCAAGAAAAGGGCAGGTGGAAAGGCCAGCTGAGAACAGGAATGGAAAAGCATCCACATGAAGGTCTGCGGGACCCTAGGAGAAGGTCAGAGCGGTTTGACAAGCTACACTTGCAGGCCCTTTCCTTCCTCCACTGGTCCCATATATATGAGTCATGGCCGGGCTCGGTGGCTCAGCCTGTAATCCCGTGCCTTTGGGAGGCTGAGGTGAGGGGATTGCCTGAGCCCGCGGGTTCAAGACCCGCCTGGACAGCGAGACCTCATCTCTACAATAAATAAAAAAAAAAAATCAGTCGGGCATCGTAGCGCATGCCTGTAATTCCGGCTACTCGGAAGGCTGAGGCGGAAGGATTGCCGGAGCCCAGCAGGCGAGGCTGCGGTGGCCGGGAGCGGCCACTGCACTCCAGTCTGGGCAGCTGAGTGAGACTCCAACTCAAAAAAATTAAATAAATAAATAAATAAAAATATATGAGTCGTGTCCAAATTCATCACTCAATCAAGCCTCAGAAGCAACACACCAAAAGAGACTGTGAGAAGACAGTGTTCAAACTATGTTAAATTGCCAGGGCTAAAACATCAACAAAAGGATAAGGTCTCTTGCTGGATAAGATCAAGAAAAGAACAAAGTCATTTCTTCAGCTGACACTTAGAACCAAAGTCGAATAAATGAAAACACTAAACTCACAGGCAGGTACAATGTGTTTTTTCTCTTTGACACAGGCCTCTTGGAATTCAATAGTTAGATGACAAAAATAATACCACTGTGACCAGCTAACCAGACTGTGCTCTCAAGAGAAAAACATACTAGCTGATACATACAGAAAAGCGTAAGAAGCTGGAAAGAACACTTGAGAATTTAAAAACTGCTTCCAACATTGTTCAAATTAAATCAGAAAAACCACCTTCAAGTCCCATCATTTACACATGTGCCATATTCAAATACTGACCAAAGACTGAACACAACCTACTTAAACTATTTTTAATATGACAGATGATGTTACCTAATGTAACATCTTTTGCTCCTGAGAAGAAAAGAAAAGGGACACTGTTCTTTACTTTTTTAGGGTGCAATTTGTATGTTTAATTACTTAGGATGTTATTTGCACCACAGTCTCCTAAAAAGTATAAAAATACAAAATCAATGTCAATTAAGTTCATAATTCTAAAAGGACCCTTAAAGATAAAGGGTTAAAAGAAAAACTTAGCCTAAAATTGAGAAGGATATTATGCCATCATCTAGAAATTAAGCTATGGTTGTCAAGCACAGAATTTAAAACAAAACAAAGCAAAATCAGTGAAAACACAGCTTCTCCAGCAGGATCTTATATCCAACCACAGGCACACTTCTGCCAATTAAACTACTATTCTAAAATATTTTGCTACTAATAAATGGCATCATTTTACAAAGGAAAGACAGTCTGGTCTATCAATTTCTGTTGTCTCTATATGAAAGAAATAAGCTAATATTGAAAAATCTAATTAAGATGACATACATTTTTGCTTAGAGGAAAGTATCTTTCCCAGATGTCAGTTTTCACTTTTTGTTAGAAAGTAGTCTTGCTATGCTGCCCTGGCTGGACTCAAACCCTGGGCTTAAGCAATCCTCCCACCTCAGCATCTCGAACAGCTGGGACTATAGGTATGTGCCACTATGCCCAGCTCCAGATACTGTTCTGATAGTTGATGTAGGTGTGCTCATGTCATACTGGTTTGTAAAAGAACAAAGCAACAGATGGGAGTATCCTCTGCCCATCAGTCCTGGTTTTGCTCTTCCACCTGAAAGACCTCGAACTAGCTTAGTCAGCAACAAGCTTCCTCTAAAAGTCTTCTTTATTCTAGGCAAATACCCCAGCTCCTTCAGTTGCTCCCAGAACGTGATGGACCATCTTGGCCGCACTCCCATCTGCTCTTGAGGATACAGGCAAGCAGGGAACTGTCACTGCCTGATTCTTAGAAGCATTCCTTTTAAAATGCAGCCAGGGCTTTGTTATCATTGCTGCCACCACATCTCATGCAGGCTCATGGGGGGCTTGCAGGCAATTAAAATCCTGACATCACCGGGCTCAGTGGCTCAGCCTGTAATCCCAGCGCTTTGGGAGGCTGAGGTGAGTGGATTGCC